CATGACATCAGTCTGGCTCTGAATAATCGTATGCACAGTGCTTTAGGCGAACCTATTCTACACCCACTAGACTTGGTCTTTCGGAGTTGACTGTATATGACTACGTCTGATTACTAGTGCGTCAACAGAACTGCTAGCGTTTAGTGAAAACACCGTGCAATTGGCCTCCTGTCCATTGACAAGTATTTGAGCACGGTAGAGATAGTTAATCAATAAATGATATCACCTTTAATGGCTGTGTTACACATATACTCTTGCATCACTCATCGTCCACTAACCCTGAAACTAGTTTCGAAAAATCCGAGTATTAAGTAATGTTCTGAGATGAAAGAGTCGTGTTAGATTAGCATTTACTTGCCTACCGCTACCACTTGATAGGTAAGGTTCGAAAGGTTGTGCAACTCAGTGTTTATTATGTTGTATCTTCCTTGTGTCCAGCAGTATTCTTGAAACGTAGGACAAAGATAATGAATTCTACTCATCAAATACGTCTTATAGGACTGATTTCGGAATTCCTGTTTGCTTTTCTATTCCACCCGTCTTATTTTTATTTTTGTTTTCACTGTACTATTGCATAACTCGTTGAGACTCATTCTTTGATGCTTATGTTGGGCTGAAATTTCTGTTTAAAATGAAATCAGCATACACCAATTCAAGTAAACAACTTGGTATTGTATAATAAAAAATGTCAAAGTCTCATGGTACGTGAAAGGCATATAAACTCTTACTGGTGACTGACTAAACATGACAGAAAATGAAAGGAACCTGACTTACTAACCTTTATCCAGTCAATTAGGTAAACCGGACAAAGTGTGGGTAGATGTACTTGACTGCCCTCTTAAATTCTAAACTACTGAAAATTTTCTACGGGATATACTACTTTGCACTGTTTATTTCATTCATAAGTCACCAAATCGTAGTACACAATCTCAAATATTCTTAAAATACTTTTAATCTATTGTTTTGGGAGTTACCAATATAATGACTAGAACACATCTGAGTAGATAGCAGTGGAACCCTAATTTCACAGTAATACATCACATAACAATTACTCCAACAGTCAGCTCAAACTTCAGATTTCCATGTTGGCTGAATCAATTTCCACCACCACATGTAGGCCTGCTTTTTTATCCCCCCCCCCCCCAACTGTGTCCACAGACTAGGTGACAAACTGATATGATATTGCTCACGATACTGCTAACATTGATATTATTTAGATGCTTTAGTCACTTCATTTAAATACATTGCACAAGGGTCATAAGTTCGAAACATGCTCCGTCTACAAAGGTTTCGGTAGCATCATTATCCTACATGCAATAAATGTGCCTCATTGACTGCTGCACGGGTGCGCACGCGGTTCCCGAAGGGATTTCTACTTTTGAAATAATACACACCGAGAATTCCACATTGCATTAAGAATATTGTCAGGTCTGACGGTTGTCAAAAACACCAATCGTTACTGATATGCTATAGCACGTCTTGAACGGATACTAGTCGACAGCCATCTGAGCGCTGACCAACTGAATGGGTCTGTAAACACTAGGAAAGATTGTGACACTTGTCAATGCCTATTCACAGTCTCCGCCTCTGCCCCTCTCAACTGTAGTTCAGATGATACAAAGGACTGGTTCCGTCAAAAGCTGTCAATCTCGCTACATTAAGCGAAATGTACAGATGTAGTCATAGTAGCAGGTGACTATAATTCTCAAGTATGGGAGCTGAGCCAATAGAAAAGGCATCTCAGAGGGGGCTATCTTTGATATACCCTTGTTGATGAAACAACAGTGATATCTCACAATTTTGTTCCGATAATCACTTGTATCTGGCTGGTACTAACTTTTAAACATATTGAAAGACATTGTCTCATTTAGCATTCATTAACATCAAGCCAACGGTGGATATATTTAAACTATATCACTATAAGCCATCGGTGGATTGTCGATTTTGTTGGAGCACTTGCTTGTACCATGCCTTAGTGTGGATACATGCATTTGAGCTTTATTGGATTTTAGAAACAAACAGAGACGAAGCCTTTGTGTCTTGATTAGGAGATGAAAACGTCAGCTGTACATTTACGGAGATAACTAAGCAACTGTGAGAACAACGCGACAATTCTACCCTGCTGAAGCCTAGTGTAATATTCAGTCTGCTGTAAAAACAAAGATAAACGCAACTGGTAACTTATATCCATAGGTTAGCAAACGTCAATGAATTTTTGCAACCTCATCTAAACTGATTGATACCAGAAGACTCATTCCAGCTGGCTATGACGATAATGAGTAGCGAACTCAAACGTGAACTGACTAAAAGTCTTCGCAATGGCAGCAGGTAGTGGTGAACTGCGAAAGCGAGAGGTAAAAAAAACATTCGTAATGAGTAACCGACAGTCATTTAGTCTTATAAAAGGATTTCAAGCTCGTACTCCAAACCACCTAGTTCGACTTGGGCAAACAGTCAAAATCTTAAGACCTCATACAACAAATGTGGCTTATAGAAAATAAACATATGTACCAAGATGAGTAACATTTATATTTATTAGGGATACTGGCAAAAAGATAATGGTTAGGAAGATCACCGGGAAGGGTGGGTCCCTAAAAACCTCCTAGGATAGGTGGCTGGAAAGTTAGATAGAAAACTAGGGAGTTATTCAACTGACCTGCAGCCAGTAGAAAAACCCTCAGTACGGTAACGAATGTGCTATCCAGTGTGCGTGAATCACAGGTAGTCCAGTAGGACTAGCCCACATCGCTGAAAATTTTTTGGGAAAACCATAAGAGGATCAGTTTTCCTAAAATGGTATACAAGATACTGAAATCCACAGTTATTCGACGCCTAGCTGGAACTCAGAAAACCAGACACGCTTCAAACCTGGACGAGGGTGCATTGACCAAATAGTCAACCCACGACAGGTCCACTCACTTGGGGAGTTGCATCATCCTAAACGAGCTGGTCGCTGATGAAATCTTAGCTTAGATACAAAAGACCCGTTTGGCACTTGTCAGCCAGCATCACTGGTGAGATATACGACTATCTATCAAAGACGAGAATACTGTACTGAAGTCTGTTCTGTACTGTTATACGGCTAACATGGCTGTTAAAAGTAGATATGAAGCGGTTACATCACAGGTGTCTTCGTAGCATTGCTCACGTTTGAAATCACTGTGTGAGTAATGTTGACGTTAGGCAAAGGGTATAAGGCAATAAAGGCAGGTCGTTTAATGAGGTTGTGAATCTTCATCGACTGAAGTCGCTTGAACATGTGTCGAGCAATGGCGTAGATGAATTCATTCCTTAATATCTTTTAAACCCTGAATATTTGCACTAGACTTCATATTTAAGTTGTATTCTCTCACATAACTTCGTTTACTTCGATATCACTCTTATTCTATCCATCTGTTCTTTGTAAACTGTGAAGTGTGGCAACTTGAACCAATGCACCTGTATGTGAAGTTCTACGCTGATTTTTCCTTTCTGTCAACACTTGTAATAGTTCATGACCTAAAGGTACCATTCGACTCTGTCGAGCAAGAGGAATTGTGGCAATGGCTGACTGGTTTCCTTAAAACGACATGAATGAATTGTTGGAGACTTGGGGAAATAGCTCGCCTCAAATACGACGACACGGATGTATACACTCGCTAGCAATGCCTTGAACATCTTCACTAACCTTAATCTGTTACTGCTTCTCCTCTAATACATCTCTGTCTACCTGAATATCACTCTTTTTCCACATACTTCTTCCCTGTATGCTGCTGCGAAGTATGATAACTAGAACCGATGTACTTCGTTTACAGGTTCTACTTTGATTTGGCTGTTTCTATCTGCTACATCAGTGATATTATGGATTCAACCTAATACCCATGATTCATTGGTTCGTATAAACCATAAAAATGCAATGCAGTGAACAAAACGAGGACCCTAATTCCTATGAAGATAGGATGTCATAATAACGTTAGAAAAGCAGTCCTCAAAACCCGTTGTGATCACTGGGTAGGTATAGTTTTGTTTCTGGAAGTTCAGCTATACAGCAGACACCGCAATAACTTTAATTCATTGGGTTACATTCAAGACTTCAAGATACACAATATCCCTCCGGCGAAAATTCCCCGAAAAACCTACGCAGACTGGTGTGACAACCTAAAGGTTGTTAATGAACAACAGTGTGAAGACAACTACTTGCCAAGTTATGTTCTAGACAATAAAGACTTGGATAACGGCTCAGACATGCAGCTTGGATAGTGATTTTGTTCAGCTTCAGTGAACGCTTTGACAACACAAAAAAGTAATGACTAGTTTTCTTGTAACTAAAAATTTGAAGCACAGATGCACTTGGATTTCACTCTCAATTTTGGTCAACTAATTAATAAAAATTATTAATTATCTAAAAAGACAGATAAAATCAACGTAAAATCTCTCACAGAAGTGCATTCGCAGTCGATAGAATGACGATTCTTCGAACTCATGTGACCACCATGACACCCTTACCAACAAACTAGATTTTAAGGCCTCGTCTAAAACCTATAGTAAATAGCTATGAGTCGTGATTAGACGCTTAATCGTTAAAAAAAACCTGCTTCTTTAGATGGGCTAACCAGTGATGTGACAATGCATTCTCTTGTTTGACTAGTTCTGTCGAAAAAATCTTGTGTCGAGTGAATACGGATCTGGACGTGGTAGCTGGTTAAATGACTAGGCTAGTAAGGCAAGACAGAAATTGCTCATTACTACAAGTAGATTAACAACAGTAATCTGAGAGAAATGAACCCTAAGATCGCTTTCCAGCTCCTAATGAGGCTAAAGCGGTGACGCTGAAGTATCATTTATCTTTAAAAAAATTTGCTAGAAAGGACAATTTTTCATACAGATTATGGAACGTAAAGACAATATGCGTGGGATTATGTCTTTTTAGACGAAAAATATTATTCTGTAATAAACTTGTTCCCAAGAAAATATAGTTTAACAGAAAAAAGTCTTAATCATTTAAAATGGATTCAACATACCTGACTCATATAGGTTTCAGAACGGCTAAGACATACCAGATCTCTTTGGACAGCCAACGAACGGAGTCTTAATAACCATTTCTTTAGTTCTTCGTAACATAGACAGAACTGTGAGAATAATTTGGAGTATGCGCACAGAGGAGTTCCTTCAGAAAGTTGGACAGCAATTCTCTTCAGAGAATCATAAATAGGTAAAATTACTTTGGAAAATCAGAGTTACCTCACATTTAACATCCATCAAGGCATAGCATTCATCACGAAGATCAAAGAACGACTGTGTAAATAACAGCTGTTGTCCTTCAAGAGGGACACTAAGATCAAAGGTCATTGAAACGTGCCAGAGTATTCATCGACCACTAACATTAGGAAGCAATTTTTAAAAAGATTAGAAACATTTAGATAGTAGATGAATGCAGACACAGAAATAAAACATGAAACTAGGGGAACAATTAGCATAAAACACAGTTGTAATCACCCAGTCAAACCATATTGCGTAAATAATGCGGGCGAATGGGTAAATAGTAAGGTAAATGGCATCAGTATTAAGAGCGAGGCATAAATGATGGGAATTGTGTCCAAAAATTTCTCTGAGTCCCTGGAATAATGCGGATAATGCTGGAATAAGGCGGGGATTGTGCGTAAATAAAGCTGAATTTACGCATGTACGCTTAAATTATCCTGCAAGTGCGGAAATTATACGGGTAAGCCGTGAAAATCCACTTAAGTGTCACACCTCAGCATTTTAATCCATGTGTTGACCTGCATTATTTCCGCATTCGCACGCATTATTGCAGCATTCATGTTTCAGTGGGGAACTGGATATCTGGATACAAAAACAATAACTATACCACATTGACTATCAAAAAGGGAACTCTAAACCTGTTTATAATCAACGCCTACACATTGAATGAATTAACTGATGCAGTATGTAAACTCACCAAAACCAAATGATATCCAAACGACACAGGTCCAAAAACTTAAAGAAGGCGCGCATTAATGCCTTTTTGTGATTCCGCGTTCACCAAACATTCAAATAAACATCATTCATAATGTTTCCTTGTTTAGTATGTGTATGGTCAGAATTGTCACAAAATGATAAACGTTTATTTCAGATGACATCATACTGTGGAGAGCAGTTGATGGCAGTCATGAGCGAAAACAAATCCAAGATGACATTTGGCAACCGGGAGTAAATAACATCTTGTAAGTCAGTTGAAGGAAAAAGGGACCTTCCAACTACTGAAAGGCTAAGTATATATAAAGTGGCGACATCATCCCGAAGGCGACCTTGGCGAGAGAATTGGTCCACAATTTCTCCTCCGCAGTAGAAACTAGTATCACACGTCAAACTTCGTGCCGTAGAATTAGTGAACGACGGTTACTTAGTTATCACGTCTCTCTTATCAGAGTACGTTCTGGGCTTGGAATAGCCAAAATTCTCCTCCTGGTTCTGAAAAACCTGAAAGGATAGAGAAAATAGATTATTAATCAATCTGGTCTGAAGGTAGCATTACTGCACCTGATCTGAAGATGATGGAAGGCTTTTCAAGTACAGCCCAAAGGTACCGTAGGATTCAAGATCTCTATCCAACATCCTTTTAGAGGTATCAGGGGATGGGGCTGCAACGACCACTAAAGGAACGGAGTTCCACAGTTTACAAATCCTAACTGCAAGCGAGTTAGTATGGATCTTTGTATGTGTTCTCACCTGCTCTATTCCTTAATGGGTGACCCCTCAGGTAGCGTTTCAGACTAAAGCTATGAAAGGATCTGTTGGGATGAAGAGGATTATGGACGATGTGACGTCACATGATCATATCCTCTCTAATCCTCCTGTATTGTACTGGATGCAGCTTAAGAGCAACAAAGCGGTCTGGGTAAGGTTAGTACCGTAACCTAATCACATCCTTTGTAGCTGTTCTCAGCACCCATTCTAGGATGCCTATGTCCTTCCTCAAGTATGGGGACATCACAAGCGAACTTACCTCCAAATGATGTTGAACGTCCGGAGTTCACACTGTGGCGAAAAAGTAGTTAAACTCCCTAAAGTTAGCAGCAGAAACCCCAAGACTCCATTGACCTTGGCTGCAAGGTGATAGTGGCATGAAGCTCCCAGTGGGTGGCTTAATGTAACTCCTAGATACAGTTCTATGTTAGAGTGCCAGATATTTATTTCACCCAGAGAGTTAGAACTGGGGCCGCCTTTATATTCATCAACTAACATTGTCCGACACTTCTTCGAAATTAGTGGAAGCAGGTTTTCCTCAGTTCAATTTGGAATTATCGTAAGGTCCTGCTGGAAGACCGAAATATCCGTCGGCACCCCTATTTTTCCCCGAATATTCCGATCATCGACATATAATAGTGACCCTCCACTGATTCCTCAGAATCAACGACCGTTTGCGACGTATAAGTTTACGCTTGCTTAACTGAAGCAAGGAGGAGTGAAGCTTGTTGGCTCTTCTTAGAATCGGAGGAGTTTTACTATTTTTCATCCGAAGGACTGCGTCCTTCAACAGATCCCATCTGGCGTCCAGATCCAGAAGTTCATTGCAATTTAGGCAAGGGGAACCCTCTAGATCTTGCCGGACCTTTTCAAAATCAGTTCTTCTGTAACTCGTGACCAACAGCTGGTCAGGAGCAGACGGCTTAGATATAGAAATATTGAAGGAAACAACTGGATGTTCACTCAACCCAAGAGGAATGGAACTGGGTGGTTACCCCAGTGAACTGGTTTGTGAAAACTAAGCCAGTAGAGACGCTTTACCGTCAACCCCCCAGTGAATACACTGAGACATGTTCAGTCAAGGAGTTCTTCAGCAACAATTCCCGAGAGTCTTTCAAGGCGGCAGATGGACTTTCTGTGGCAGAGAGTCGAGGAAACTTAAAATCTTCCATAGTGAGGACCACATCTCCAGTGGATTGCCCAACATTTTATTTAATGTGGTAAGGGTTCCAGAAGGGTGGCATAGGACTCTAATCAAACACGGACCTCCACAGCACTTAACGCTACACCAGAGAACACCTTTACTGCCAACTCCAAGGGAGTGAATCTCATGGGCTTTCTGGTGAAGACAGGTGTAAAGAGCAACCCCACCTCCTGAACCCTCCGATCTATCCTTCCGGATTAAGACAAACTGACCTAAACGAGCTTTCCCATCTTTTATGTTCTCTGAGAGCCAGGTTTCGCAGAAATCTATTATGCTAGGGCCATCTTCATCAACTAATAACCATAAATCTTGCATCTTGAGGCGCAGGCCACGCGCATCACTATAGATGCACAGAAGTCCCAGAACCAGGTTGAGTTAAGGATGTGTTGCCAGCCTTTAGAGAGCCGGCTTTGACAAGTTTTTTAATAGAAGGACGGACCCAAGGGCTACTAGACCCACCAATCTGTTTGATTGAGAACTATGGCGGGATTCCTTGATCTGGGACCAGGTCGATAAGAACTGTTGCTCCTCGTCCAGCCGCTCGATCGTTAGATGTTTAGGATTTGTCCTGGTGCGAACTTGACACACGCAAAGACCAATCACTAATCATTCGGACTTCTTATATACCAACGAATAAGAGACCAAGAAAGAACGCGATAGCGTAGTCAGATGGAATATTATGTTTGGATGGTTGTGCCAAGATATCGATGCGTTCTAACTAACTGGCTAGAGAGTCGAATACGAGCAGTGCAACGTAACACGATAGCGTGCCAAATGGGGAGGATGCTTGACCGGGTGCCTTCAGCTTAGCGAGTCCAGCTAAGCTATCAAGGTCAGCATCAATGTCGAGTGTCGTCAAACCCTATGCAATTGATTTTGGGTAAGTGCGTGACGCTACAGATCACTCCCCCCTAGTGGGTTCGCGAGGACCCTAAAAACGATACCAGCCGGAAGTAAAAACCCAGTGGTTTCTCCACCGGTAAAACTCTTCCGATGGGCTCACTATGTGAAGTAGCCCCTGGTCGTCTGAGCTTATTCTAGGGTGTCGTGGCAATTAAATAAGAAAATACAATAAATCGAATTGGACGTCAATCGCGGTCCTCAGTTCATTTTGACGTTCCGCCCAGTGCTCGTTGCACCTGGAATATAAATAAAAGTCCTTAATACCACGAAAAACTTTTCGTAAAAATGGGAATTATTTATACATAGACACATCAAAAAATAAAAATTTACGCTTATTTTCACCGTTTACCTTTAAAAGTTTCGTTGCATGGCAATAAAAATTGAAGTAAAAAAGGAAAAGTGTACTAGGGTTTGCGCACTACCGGTAAATAAGAAAAATGGTGCCTCGGAAAAAATTTTGGCAGTAAAAAAATGTGGTTGGCACATTTTATTTCACACCGCTAAGTTGAATACGACTTCAAATACTCCGGGAACCTGACGGTTCGACCCGATCGTGTTTTCTGTTGCGCAGATGGTTGTTGTAACTATGCGTTACCAGGCGCATCGTCAAGAATTTCGATAATTGAGCTATCCATCGGTCGGCTGTAGCTAGCTGAAACGTCACTTATAATGGGGTTGCCTTCGAAACAAGCTGGCTTCAAACGGTCGATACTGACGGTATCTTCACTCCCGTCTCGCTCAATTATGTAGAATTTCTCGTGTCGCTTGATCACTTTGAATGCCGCTTTGTAGGGTGGTTCAAGTGGCCGACGAACGACGTCGTGGCGAATAAACACGTGTGATGTCTTTTGTAAACTGGGGTGAACGAAGACATCAGTCGTTTGAGGTCTAACCGGAGAAGGCCTAACTGAACGCATTGCGTTTGTAAGCCTAGTCACGTAAGATGCCCTGTCGGAAACATGTTTGAAAGTTGAAGGGGAAACAAACTCACCTGGTAGGCGAAGAGTGGTCCCATAGACGAGTTCTGCAGGGGTGCATCCAGCATCAACTTTCAACGCGTTACGAATACCTAGTAGGACTAGAGGCAGAGCCTCGGTCCACTGAGGTATGTTTGCAGCTGAAAGGGAAGCTTTCAGCTGTCGATGGAAACGCTCTACCATGCCATTTGCTTGTGGATGGTAGGCTGTCGTTCGGAACCGAGTGCAACCTAAAAGTGCCGTTAGAGCGTGAAATAATCCACACTCAAATTGGCGCCCACGGTCGGTTGTGACGTAAAATGGACATCCGAAGTTCGCGATCCATCTTTCGACGAAAACACGAGCAACTGTTTCAGCAGTAATATCCTTAATAGGTACTGCTTCCGGCCATCGTGTGAAACGATCAACACAGGTGAAAAGGTAGGTACATCCATTAGATTCTGGTAGGGGTCCTACAATATCTATATGGACGTGGTCGAAACGCATGTCTGGGGCTAGAAATGAGCCTAAAGGGCTTTTCGTGTGTCGCGTGACTTTACACTTTTGACAAGCTAAGCACGACTGAGCCCACTCCTTAACGTCTTTGTTCATCCCAGGCCAGCAGAAACGTTGTGCGATAAGCCTAATGGTGGCTCGTACACCTGGATGAGAGAGTTTGTGCAACGTATTGAAGACGTTGCGTCGACAACTCTTCGGAACTATTGGGCGTGGTTGACTAGCAGAGACATCGCACAAAATTGTATCCTTGTCTGATCCAACCGGACAAAGTCGCAGTTTGAGAGTTGTGGACGACAACTCATGATGCAGCTCAAGGTCTTCCTTTTGACGCCGAGCTAGTTCAACGAGATCAACGCCCTCGATATAGTTTATCGAAGCTATTCGAGATAGTGCGTCGGCTGCGGAGTTGTTTGCTCCAGAAATGTGGCGGATGTCTGACGTGAACTGGGAAATGTAATCCAGCTGTCGCGACTCACGAGGGGAGTATTTGTCAGACGCCGAGCTGAGGGAAAAGGTTAACGGTTTGTGGTCTGTGAAAATAATGAAATCACGACCTTCCACCGAATGTCGAAAATGGCGTACAGAACAGTACATGGCTAGGAGTTCCCTACCAAATGTACTGTATCTTGTTTCCGCGTCTTGCAGCCGCCTCGAGAAAAAGGCTAACGGTTGCCACTGGTTGTCAGTCAACTGTTGCAAAACTGCTCCAATTGCTGAATCAGATGCATCAACAGCAATACTCAAAGGAGCATTGGGGTTGTGAT